TTCCAGCTCCCTGCTTATGGCCTGGTAAAGCAGTCAAGGACGGCCCAAAGCTTCTGGCTTTGGATCAGCTCAGCTTCTGCTGCTGAGGCCACTTAGAGAATGAACCAGCACATGGAAAATCTTTCTGTCTCTCCTCCTCTCTGTTAACCTGCTTTTCCAAGAATAATAAATAAATTCTTTTTTTAAAAATGGTTTATTCTGGGCCCGGTGCAGCTAAAGTCCTTGCCTTGTACGCTCCAGGATCCCATATGGGTGCCAGTTCTAATCCTAGCAGCCCCGCTTCCCATTCAGCTCCCCTGACTGTGGCCTGGAAAAGCAGTCAAGGATGGCCCAAAGCCTTGGGACCCTGTACTCTCATGAGAGACCTAGAAGAAACTCTTGGCTTCAGATTAGTGTAGCTCTGGCCATTGCAGCCACTTTGGGAGTGAATCAACGGATGGAAGATCTTCCTCTCTGTCTCTCCTCCTCTCTGTATATCTGACTTTCCAGTAAACATTTTAAAAAATGTTCTATTTTGGGGCCTGGCGGCGTGGCCTAGTGGCTAAAGTCCTCGCCTTGAACGCACCGGGATCCCATATGGGCACAGGTTCCAATCCCGGCAGCTCCACTTCCCATCCAGCTCCCTGCTTGTGGTCTGGGAAAGCAGTCGAGGACGGCCCAAAGCCTTGGGACCCTGCACCCATGTGGGAGACCCAGAGGAGGCTCCTGGCTTCGGATCAGCATAGCATCGGCCGTTGCGGTCACTTAGGGAGTGAATCATCAGACGGAAGATCTTCCTCTCTGTCTCTCCTCCTCCTTTGTATATCTGACTTTCCTATAAATAAATAAATCTTAAAAAAAAGTTCTATTTTGATACAAAAATAATTTGGAAATCCTGGCACATAAGAGGTTTTCAAAACATTCACAGAGAAAGTTATGCATATATTTCAACTTTTTTGCACCAGGATAAGCTTATCTTTTCAAACCCTTTTTCTATGAATTTTTTGAAATAACCTCATAGATTGTGTAACGATTATTACAATCAAACTAATTAACAGAGTCATCCCAAATTGTGCATCAGGTCCTCAGAACTTTTTCACATAATGGCTGAGCTTTTATGCTTTGGAATTTTTCTAGCCTGCTACTGATGCAAACATGAATTAGTGCAGTCACTGTGATAACCAGTACGGAAGTTCCTAAACAAAAATATGAATAGAACCAGCAGCCCCACTTATGGAAATATCCAAAAGAAATGGAACCAGGATCTCAACAAGTCGCCTGTACACCGCTGCTCGGGGCAGCCCTAACTTCATGCGCTTGAATCTACCATGTCCATGTTTTCGTCCTGTGGAAAAGTTACAAGTATACAAGTAACCGGAGAGCGGGACTAGTAGCTCTTCCTGCCCGACACGCTGCAGTGCATCTAGGAACGCGAGCAAAGCCGGACTGGAAGGAGTCACCAGTGCTGTTCTGTCCCTGTGGTTCCCCCTGCTTGTCTGGACACCGCAGCCACCCTCCGCCGGCACCCACGATGCAGAGTGACCATCTCTGGAGAGGAGAATGATGGGCTTCCCAGGTCAGGCGTGACCTTTCCCAGGGAAGTCCTGTTCCGGCTCCTCCGCAGGTGTTCTGCCGCAGTCTAGTTGTGCAGCATCATTGGTCTCAGTTCCCTGAAAGGGCCAGGCGCTTGGCAGTCTCGGCAGGTGGCCCATGATGTCCTTCCCTCCTGAACTTCTTCTCTTCATCGTCCTTCTCCAACATCTGCTCACCTGTAACGGTCAGCTCACCCCTCACCTTCTTGGCTAAGACCTTTGCTCACCTCCTTTGGTTGGGCCCTTGCCTCCTCTGCTTCCCAAAGTCGCCTGCCTACATCCCTGTAACTCCTCACCAGACTGAAAGTCCCCTGAGGTCAAAACCCTGGGTGTGCTCCCTCGGGTTCTGCGTTCCGTCTCCCCACACATGCCCTGATGGCGCACCTTCCTTTTAGTCTCTGTTTCTGTATTTGAATGAATGCCACACAGCCACTCCAACCTTTCACTGCACTGGAGGGGCCTGTACCTCTTTCCCCAACCCTGCCCTGGGGTCAGGGGCAGGGCCCTTTTCTGAGCACCTCCACATCTGCATCTTGGCCCAGCACCATCAGTCCTCGTGAGATATGGTCCAGGAGTCTGCTCTTCTTTTCCTGCACCCCAGTCGCAGTCACAGCCTTCAATCACCTACAATGGACTGCTAATCTAGTCTGGGGGCAGAGAAGATGGGGCCGAGGGGCCAGGCCAGGTACACTGACTTCGGCCCATGGCCAGGTGATAACCTGCCCTGAGGACAGCCCTGAGCAGAGCTGGTTCTGTTGGTAGGCCTGAGCTGGAGAGCCCCTCATCACCCCATGACAGATGCCCTTCGGCAGCGCCCCAGCTCCGGCACTGCTCAGGAGGCAGACTTTGTTGGTTTAGTTCCGCTACAAGGCTTCTGCTCCTGCCCCAGCCGTTCCAGCCTAGAGATTCCTGGTACCAATCTGATTGAACAACTTCATTAAAGTGCACTAAAAGGCAAGTGGGCAGGATGTGCCCTGGGGGGAGAGGAGGACTCCATCGCCTCTTCTGGGAGCCCCCTGCACACCATCTTGCATCCTGTGGGATTTGGAGACAGAAAGAATCCCCCAGTGAAGCAGAGCTCAGCTCACACCCAGAGAGGACCACGCATGCCCCCCAGATACCTAGGAGGAGGTGGGGAGCAGCTTCCTGTCTAAGGCTCAGGACTTGCCTCTCTACACCAGGGGGGAGACAGACATGCCTGCAGTGCCGAGGCTCTCCTCCACATCTTGATTCTTTCTCCTTCTTCCCGTTCTGTAGAAACATCTTCCTGCAGATAGAATTTGCATGTCACACAATTCACCCACTCACAGTGCTTTATACTGCATCCACAGAGTTGAACAATCATCCACATTTTAGAATATGTTCATCACTCCTTCAGCTCTGCCACCCCCAGTGACTCATGATGCAACCTGCTCGTTTCTGCAGTCCTCCTTGCCTTCCTTCTGTCCCTCAAGTGGCCCAGACCCCGTGCCCTGGTGCCTTCCTGCCTCCCCTGTGCTCAGCGGGTCCTCCTTGCTCACCTCCCAGTGGGGCCGTGACCCATGCTCCGGTGCTGGGAGTCAGGGATGTAGGCTGGGTTTTGGCTCCCCTGCCCCACCACCACTAGACTCGAGCCTTTCCATCATCTCCATCCCCTGGGATACACAAGGGACCCGAGTCCTCTGCCCAGCCAGACGCAGCCCCAGCTTCTGGCACTCTTGCAGGCACCTGTGCTCTCTGAGCCTCCGCACCTGCACTTCCCGTGAGCACTCGTCTCTTTCTGCCCACACAGGGATCCCTGACTTGACTGTGAAGCCTGCCTCACAGGAGTCCGTCCTGTCTGTTGCCCTCTGCTCCTGCCGACCACTTTGGGTCACTGCAGCCTCTTTGGGTCCCTAGCTCTAACAGACTCCATCTCCAGGCTAGGGGCTCCTGACAATATCACCTAATCTGTCTACTGGCCTCTGCTGCCAGGTTAGGGAGATTCAGAAAATTCCCATGCTGGTGCCCGTGACTCAGTTTCCCTATTAGCCGGAGAAGGCCCAGAGACTTGCGACCAGCCCCTAGGCCCTCTCCAGGTCTCATCCTCCAATTAGGAACAAATGGAGGAGGCTGCTTTAAGCTAAGCTCAGTCTCTGTGGTCTAAGACACAGCACAGGAACCCCTTGCCCTGCAGTCTCGATCCTGCGTGGATTGAGGGAAACCGCCAGAGTGGGATGCGTACTGATTAGGATGCTGTGTTTCTCTGATGCAGCAGGTGTTTGCAAAGGTGGCTGAGAGCATGCCCACTGGGATGCGAGAAACTAAGTCACCGACTTCCCTGCGACCACTGCCTCTCCTGCTAACCTAGGAACATCTGCCCATTGCCACCTCATTCTTAGCGCCCATCGCCAGGCCGGGTAGACGCGCGGGGCGACGTTAGCCCGTGTCCCCCGCACGTGTCGCCGCCTTCCCGTGGACGCTGGACTGGGGGGGGGGGGGCCTCTGCCTGGGCGCCCTCTGGCGGCCGCGCGCGGAAGCGACGGCCCGGCGGCAGCGGGCGAGGGAAAGGGGGAGGGAGGCAAGCAGGAGGAGGAGGAGGAGGCGCGGGCAGGGGAGGAGAGGAAAAAGTTGCGCTGGGAAGTTTGGAAAGTTGGGAAGTGGCTGCTGCGGGCTTCGCCTCCCTCCGCGCGTGTGTGAGGGAGCGAGCCAGGGAGCGAGCGAGGAGCGAGCGAGCGCCTGCCATGCCCATCAGACCCCGCCTCGCCGCGCCCGGGCACGGAGCTCGCCCCGACTCCCTGCGGCCCCCGGCCCGGCCCGGCGCGGCCCCCCGCCCTCCGCGCCGGGTCTTCCCCTCCCCCCGCCCCGGCGGCCCCAGCCCCCCGCCCGGCCCGGCTCCTCGCCGCTCTCCCGCCCTCTTCTCTCCCTCCCTCCCGGCCGCGGAGCAGCATGGCGGAGCCCGGGCAGCGGCCGCGCGGCCGCCCGCCGCCCCTCTGAGCCGGGCTCGGGGGCAACCGGGCGCCCTGGACCCGACCCCCGCCCCGCCGAGCCCTCCGCCGCACTTGTCCCGCTGCGCGCCCCCTGGAGCGCCGCGCACCCCTGGGACCCTTGCGCGCCCCGGGTACCCTGCATAACCCCGGGACCTCGGTACTGCCTGGGGAAGCCGGCGTGCCCCTGGACCCCGACGTGGCTTGGGGACCCCTGCGTGCCCCAGAACTCCCGTGCACTCTCAGAGCCCCGGGGCTTGGCCAACGGGGCCGCCGCGCGCCTTGGTGAGGGGCCCCGCCCCAGAGAGACCCCCAGGTCGGGCAGGGACAGCCAGCCACGCCCCAAAGGGCTCCCAGCATCCCGCGGCTGGGGCCCCGCGCTCTAGAGGAAGCTCCGTGCCCAACTGGGGTGTTGGGGGGGCTCCCCGCCCTACTGAGGGGGCACCGCTCGGGAGGGTCCCCGCGCCCGGCCGGCCCCGGCAGGATGCACGCCGCCGTGGCGGGGCCGCTGCTCGCCGCGCTCCTCGCCACAGCCCGCGCCCGCCCGCAGCCCCCCGACGGAGGACAGTGCCGGCCGCCAGGATCGGTGAGCGAGCGCCTGCCCCGCCAGTCTCCCGCCCGCCCGCCCGGGCGCTCCAGCCCGTGGGGACGGGCGGTGTGGGTCCAGCCTTCCGCACGCACCTCTGGCCGGCGCTGGGGGCCCTTCACCCGCTCCTGCCTGTCCGCTCCACCTCCCTGGTTTGGGGACTCTGGCCCCATTGCCGGAGCCAGAGCTGAGACGGGGCGCTCCCTCGCTCGGGCTTGGTCGTGCGCAGACGGACGCTCTGGCTCCTGCTTGGGCTTGCTTTCGGGTGTCCCTTTTGGACTCTTCTTGCTGACTCTGCCCTGCTCTGCCCGCCGGCTCCTCGCTGCCCACTTCGAGCGCTGTATCTGTCCACTGCTCTTGCCCCGACTCCCACCCAGCCCTTCACCCTCCTTCATCTCTGCTCCGCGGGACTTCGCTCTGTCTCCCGGGCCTCGGTCTTTCCACCCTGACCTGGGCAAACGTTGACTCCGGTGCGGCTTCCCTTTGCCCTCTCTCCCACTGCAGCCCGGACGTAGCACCAACTGCCCAGGTGTCTGTCTTTTGCGAAAAGGAGGCAGGGTCGAGAGGCTGTGGGAAGGAAACCTGGACGGCTGACCAGCTGTTTTTGGGGGCCACCTGGGCGTATCCTCATGTTCCTCCCCAAACTAGGAACCGGTTACCTCCTTCCCTCGTGTCCGTGTCCTTCCCTCCCTGTGTGAGTGAGTGTGCTGACAGGACCCCTGAGCCCATGGCCGTGCACACAGGGGCCTGACCTCTGCCCCGTACCAGGGAGGTGGTTGACCTTGGGTAAGGTGCAACCTGCCCCTGCAGTAGCATGGTGGGGGGAGGGGGCGGTGGGCAGCTCTGGCAGGGTCCAGGAAGCTGGGATTCCTGGGTGTTTAGTATTCAGTAAAGTCAAGTCAGGTCCCCCTACACGTATCCACTCTGACCCACACTTTTCAGAGAAGCCAGAATTAGACAGAAGAACTAAATTAGTTGAGCAGAATCTTCCCAGGAGCCAGTGGACATTCTAGGGATTTTTCTGGATGGAAAGTGGTAGAGAGAGAGGAATTGCCAGTGAGAAATGACAGTGCCTCTTTCTTGCATCTTCCCTGTGGGTCTTAGTCGGGATCTGGAGAAATGACTTGGGAGCCCTTCCTGTAACCCTGTGTGTACGCACACACACACACACACACAATGGTCAGCAACAGGAAGTGACAGGGAATTGGGGTTGCAGCCCAGGTGTCCCTTCTGGGAGCAGCTCAGAAAGCATGCAGAATGTATACCCTGCGTGGGCCTTGGACCCCGGAACCCTCTCCTCCCAGCCTGGAGGCTGAGACCTGACCCTGCAGGGTCCGAAAGTGCTTCTCCTTGCTGGCTCTCAGTTGCTGGAGCAAGGCAGCCAACACTCAGACTGCGCTTCGAAACGAGCTCTGTCCACCCTGAGGAACAGCAAGTGGCTGTTTAAGTAGGTGTGCTACTTCCAGTAGGTGCTCTGCCTTCAGAGGGCTCTTAGCGTGTATTTTCTAATGTTGGAGTTAAAAGTTATATGACTTCCTCTGTCCTTGCCAGAGCACGACGCGCAGCCCGCCTCTTCCCTCCTGCCCAGGAAACACCCTGGTGTAGGTTTGGCTTGGCCAAGCATGTATCTTCTCTGGTGGTGTGGCAGTCCTTGGCACTGTGCAAGGGCTGAACCCAGCCAGGCAGGCCTTTCTCGGCCTGCTTCCGTTGTGCCTGGCACTGCCCAGAAGGTCTGGCGTCTCCCCGACATGGACCCCCAGGTGGCTGCTGTCACCCCAGGCTCTCAGGGAGGAAGGAGACGGAATGATGCTTGTGTGATGGGACAGTCTAGACACAGCAAGGCCAAGATTTAACCCTGAATCAGTGTCGTTGTCCACCCTGCGTCCCCCCTGCCATCGCCACTGTGCCGCAGCCCTGGCTCCGTGCCCCAGCCCTCAGTCTCACGGCTGTGCTTCTCCTCTTGTCTCGCAGCAGAGGGACCTGAACTCCTTCCTGTGGACAATCCGGCGGGACCCCCCGGCCTACCTGTTTGGTACCATCCATGTCCCCTACACCAGGGTCTGGGATTTCATTCCCGACAACTCCAAGGCTGCCTTCCAGGCCAGTGCCCACGTCTACTTCGAGCTGGACCTGACTGACCCTTATACCATCTCAGCACTGGCCAGCTGCCAGCTGCTGCCGCACGGGGAAAACCTGCAGGACGTGCTGCCACGTGAGCTCTACTGGCGCCTGAAGCGCCACCTGGACTACGTGAAGCTCATGATGCCCTCCTGGATGACACCTGCGCAGCGGGGCAAGGGCCTCTACGCTGACTACCTGTTCAACGCCATCGCGGGCAACTGGGAGCGCAAGAGGCCGGTGTGGGTGATGCTTATGGTGAACTCGCTCACGGAGACGGACGTGCGCTCCCGTGGGGTGCCTGTGCTCGACCTCTACCTGGCGCAGCAGGCGGAGAAGATGAAGAAGAGCACCGGTGCAGTGGAGAGGGTGGAGGAGCAGTGCCATCCGCTCAACGGGCTCAACTTCTCCCAGGTAGGCAGGCGTGAGCTGCCTGGGCCCAGTGCAGGTAGCCCCTGACTGCTGATAGTCCCTGGGGCTGTGGGGGCAGCGTTCTAGCTCCTGCGGTGCTGTGAGGGTGTGCTTGGAGTTGGAGTTGGAGCAGTTTGCGTGGTACACACCTATCTGTTGGGAATGTGCTCTGTGCACCTGCTGTGCTAACCTAGGCAGAATCTCCCTGGGAGCATCTGAGCGATCGCAAGCACAAAGAGAGAGATGCTGGTCGGCGTCAAGCTTTTGCAAGGCCTGGTGTCTTCGGGGCAGGAGTTGGTCCTAAGGCTGTTGTTGCTTGGGTGCCATCGGCGGCCTATGTGTCTGTGGGTGAGAAGTGTGAGGAAGGTGTGGACTTGCTGGCGCCCAGCTGCTGTAGGTGGTTGAGAGCACGGCTACAAGCCAGCAGGTGCAGTTTGGGGATTCACGGATTTGGAGATGTGAGTTTGCTTAAGGTTCTGGATTCTGAGTTCTGAACCCCAAGAGTAAGGACCAAGGAAAGGGCGGATCTTAAAAGGGTTAAAGTCTTTGCATGCTGCAGACCAGAGCCAACCGAATGTCCCTGTGGACGGAGGTCACTCACAGCTCACCAGCCCCCAGATTCAGCTCAGAGGCTCTGAGAAAAGTGTATTCACCCCTGTACCTTGAGAACAGGCCTGTTGGTCCCCGCTGCTCCCTCACACAGAGGCTCCCAAACCCGTGCTGGTGCCAGCACTGCCCATGGAGGAGGCAGCCCCGTGGGCTGGCCCAGCTCACGGCTGCCCCCCTGGAGTGAGAGCTGCCCACTGCTCCCGAAATGTTGCAAGCTGTTCACCAGGGAAACAGCGGCAGAAAGCGATCCCCCTTCTGAGGTCTGTGGCCTTTGTTTTTCTAGGGGAAATGCAATATGGTCCCCGGGGAGGTAAGAAGGCAGATTGATTTGCGGGCCAAATGAAAGGCGTGCTTGTCGGTTCTCCTGCTGGCGCTCCCATAATTGTAGAGTCCTTACCCAGAGGGCCCTGGTGGCGGGGATATTGGGGCAGTTAGTCACGCCCCGCAGGGTTCTGACTGCGCCCGACTCCTTCTCCACGGGGGAGAATCCTGTGCATTCTCTGGCCCAGTGCGGATTCCTCTGAACACAGCGGCGCCTCCCTCTGAAGTGACTTCTCTCTTGCCAGCCTCAAGCTCTGATATCATCTGTGTCAACCTCCCCCGCGTGCCCCCGCCCTGGTCCATGCTCACCGCCCATCTCATTTCAGAGGCAGGTGTGTGAGCAGCCCTGCTCCAGAGCCCTGCTGTCTGGGCTTCAAGACCTTGTTTAGTTGGGGGAGCTGGGGGAGACGCACCATCACTCTGAGGACTTCCCCAAGGCCAAAAGGCAGCTGGGGGACCTGTGTGCTTTAGCAGCAGCCCCTGGCTCTCATCGGCCTCTCTCAGGACAAGTCTCTTTCCCTGGGATCTGGAGACTTGGCTGGTGGACCCAGTGGCAGCTCTGGGGACTAGAGAGCATTTGTGGGGAAGTGAGGGAATCTGCGTTTCAGGACAAGTTTCCATGAGCTGCTGTTGTTGTTGCTTGGGTGGCCAGAGGCCCTCCAGCGGATCAGACAGATGCTCATCTTGGTGTGAGAAATGCGCCCACCTCCTCAGCAGCTCGGACCCACTTCCCAGGCTGCCCCTGAGTCCGGCTTTTGGAAAGGCCCGTGGAGGGCTAGCCTGGAGCAAAAGCGAGCAGGAATCTTGTGGGTTCCCTTAATCTGCACACGCTTCACCACCTGCCAGAGCATCCAGCGGCATCAATTTGTCCTGTTATCATTGTGGAGGGAGGTGATGAAATCTCTTCTCTCTTGCTCTGGGCAGCCTTGAATGACCCGGGAGGGCTGGAATTCTGGAGGCCTGGGAGATGGGGTGTTCAGGATCTCCCAATCCACAGTCAGAAATGCAACAGCCTCCCCCTCAGTAAGATTGCATGTGTGCGTGCACGGCTTGATATGAACATCTGTGACGCATTATTGTACCAAAATATCTGTTAAGTGCATCAGATTTTTATTTTTTCTTCCCTTGTAGCATTACTGTTATTGCAAAATATTTGTGGGGAAATGGCACCGTGAGAGAGGAAGGTGAGCAAAAGAAGGCTAAAGGGAATGCCTTTTGGTGTTAATTTTGGTGTTTTCAAAATTTATAGACATTTTGCCTCCTTGAATGGAAATTCTGCAGTTTTTTTTTTCTTTTTTGCTTGCTAAGTGACGAAAGAAAACTGAAGTCTGAGGACTCTGTGGGTTGGAAAAGTCGTGGAAAAAAGCTGGCCTTACCCTTTGTGTGTCTGGGAAGATCAGGTTTACTGATAGGTTTGGGTCTTTGGTTTCAGAGGAAAGCAGAGATGCAAGCCAAAAGCGGTGGACCTGAAGGTGCACGACTCTGCTATGTGACCTTGGACAAGTCCGTTCTTTTACCAGCATCCTGTTTTCTCTGTGAAATGAGACTCTGCGATGAGGTCATCTTTCCAGCCCCTTCCAGCCCTGACATTCCATAGGATGATTCTAATCAGTTCCACGTGCCCGGCTCCCTCCAGGAGGCTCCGCGTGCTTTTCCTTTTCGGTGAATTCTCACAGTAACCCCTCTGGCTTTCTAGGCTGGGCACCCAGAAAGGCTGCACGACTTAGCCAAGGTCACGTGGCTCCGAAGGCGGGAGCCCCTCGCCTGACTGGAAGGAAAGCTGCACGTGTTCTTGCTGTAGCTCTGCACCACCTCTCATCTGTCTAGACAGTTGCTGTCCGCCTGGTCGTTCTTCCTGTACTCCTTTCTTGCATTTCTGTGTCCCATTTAGGACTTGCGAATTTACATGTTGCTTCTTAGAGATGTGATATTTGCAGAGAACCACTGCCAAAGGGAATGGGAGGTCCATCCTGGCAGTTTTCCTGACGTGTTGTAGACACCACAGCTCCATTGACCAGAGGTGGGAGAATGGCAGGAGAATTTCAGTTCTGGCCCCAGCACCAAAACCACAGACTCGCATACAAGCTTGGGCAAGACTCAGTGTTCACATCTGTCCAGTGGGGCAGTAGTCAGCCACCTGTCCAAGCTGAGCTGGATGTTTGAGACTGTGAGAGGATAATACCAGAAGCAGGTGGTTGGGGTGGTGGGATGTGAAAGGATACCTGGATGTTGTCTCTGGGCTAGCTGCAGGGCAGACGGAGTGGAGGGCTGTAGGAAAAGTAGCCGCCCTGAGGCTGCCTGAGCCCAGAGACTAGATCTTGGGGCCCTCCTGGCACCGGCAGATCTCCATCAGCTCCACCTGCTGCCCCCTGATACTGGTCCCAGCTGCCTCTACTTCTCTCTCTAGGCTCCTTGAATCCTCTGCCTTTTGCCCCTGTGTGGCCAGGGCCATGGTAGGGAAGAGTTGCAAGTCCTATGGATATCCAGGGTCTGATCAGACCACAAGGAACCTGTCATTCTGTGTTGGCCGTGCTTGACAGACCAGCTGCGTGGACACATCAAGGGTGTGGAGCTGAACACTGGACTGCCTGCTAGAAGTGTCTAATGGCCGGTAAACTCTGAAAGCCCCTCCCTAGGGACAGGAAGCCGTATAACCTTTCCTGGTGCTGCTCTAGAGCTTGGGAGTAGCTGCTCTGTCGTGATCCCAGGGGTGCTAAGAGGCTGACCATCCTACCCATTTTAGAGACCATTCCCTGAGACTTCAGCCACTGTGTTGGGATGACACAGATAGACCAAGTAGACTCAGGATGCAAACTCAAGAGTGTTCCTTGCTAAAGCCCAAGGATGTCTGAGATGTACCTTGGCTTTTGCTATTACCAGCCAGATGGCATTATTGGGTGAAGTGTGTCCAAAGGGAGCCTTTCTTGGCATTAAGATGTAAGACACAGATATGAAAAGAGCCATCATGGGAAAGTGTTGATATTGGTGTTCTTCCTGGCTTCCAAATCAGATCTGAAGGTAATTCTAAAACAGGAGAGACTGCAATGGGTTCTGGAAACAGCTCCCTGCTGTGATGGTGGGCCCCTCCCCACAGAGTCAGACTGCACAGCTGAGTCAAGAAGAGTCTGCTTGGCTTACCGAAGGATCTCTTGTATCCACACCCCGAGGGCCCTGCGGGTGTGAGAACGGCCTGAATGGGTGGATGAATGCAGGAATGGCTGAGTGGTCAGAAACCATGGAATGTCCCGTTTCCCTCTGGAGCACTAGTCAGTGAATGTGTGAGTGCATGGAACCACAGAGGGAGCCCCCTTGTTGAACACAAACTGCTCTGAGGGTGCGCAGTGTCGGAATCATCCTGGGGGATGTCTGAGTCCATTCCCAACTATCCCCTGGCACCTCACAGTAGGTGACTTGTAAGCAACAGATGTGTGCTGCTCACAGTCCTGAAGACTGGGGAGTTCAGGGTCAGGGCGTCAGCGGTATGAAGACCGGTGAAGGCCTGTTGCTTCTGTGTGACCACATGTGGCAGGCAAGGAACAAGGCCAACAAACTCCCTCCCAACCCTCCTGTGAGGGCGCCACCAAGTCACCTCCCAGGAGCCCTGTGTTCCTGCAACAGCTTGGGTAGGTCAATTTCAAAGCAAGTGTCATCCTCACCCCTTCACTACCTTGCCTGTGACTTTGGCCCAGCCTTACCCCTCCTGGGCCAGTGTTGTTGGGCTGGGCGATGGCCAGTGTCAGGCAGGTCCTAGCATCTGTGATGCTCCTCTTTGGTCCCCACATCTTGGGTGGAGCTTGAGCTATTCATGGCTGTGAGGGCTCACCTCGTCCGGAAGCCTGTTGGCGCCCATGGAAGATCGTGCTGCAGTGCCAGGCTGCACAGTATCAGCCTGGGATGATGCTGTCTCCTGGACACCTGCCTAGCTGGGATCCTCCCCTTCCTGATGAGCCCTCTCCTGCACTTTCTTTCTTGCTGCTTCCACCAAAACACCTTCTTGAGCCATTCCCTGCGCAGGGCCTGCAGGATTCACTACCTGAGCATGTACAACTGTGGCCTCTGTACCCCTGGCAGGG